ACGGCTCGCCGCAGTAGGGGGGGGGGGGAAGAGGGAACATTGGAGGGGAAGGACTTCAATGGGGTATATTGCCATAGGGTCCACCCCGCAAAGCATCCATTTTCTCCAGGGGAACTGATCTCTGTAGCTGGAGATGAACTGTGATTCCGGAGGATCTACAGGGCCCTCATTGATGTCCACACATGCACAGCAGCGTCAGGTGCTTCCATAAGGCAGCAGAAAATGGTCACCCTCTTGGCCCGGTAGGTGGACATCCATAACCTACCTGAGGGTTCTGACTCATTGTTCGAAGACTATTGAGCTATGGGCCTTCAACCAATCTGCCTTGGGGTGTGATACCTTCTGAGCTAGGTATTCTATCATCCAAGCCTGAACATATCCGCTTACAGTACCAACTTAAAAGTATCAGACTGCATGGGGGAAAAAAATTCTCTGCAGACTTTAGAACTGGTTCTTGTTGGAAAAATGGCACTGGTTTGCTTAGTCTCAAATTCAGTTAGTCTACCTGGGTTATTCAGGCAATTAAAAACAGAGGATCATAAGAGTTATTCTTCAGCTGAACAATCAAGGAGACTTACAAAAGAGATACTCTAAGGTTCAGAGCTCTTTGTGCCATTCAGGGTCACTACTGATTTTAAAGAATGCATTGCTGTTCTTCAAAGACGTAATATTTTAAGTTAATTAATATTTATGGTATACATCAGGGCTCCCCGATGTGGTGCCCTTGGGCTCCAGCTGTGGTAGAGGGGGGGGGGGGGGGGGGAGGTGGAGCTTTTGAAGTTTTTTATATTTATGATATAATGCAGGTGGTGGCTTTGGTGTAGTGGTTCAGAGAGGCGGACTCTAATCTGGAGAACCGGGTTTGATTCCCCCATTCCTCCACATGCTGCCAGCTGGGTGACCTTGGGCCCGTCACAAGTTCTCTGAGAGCTGTTCTCTCAGGAGCAGTTCTCTCAGAGCTCTCTCAGCCCCAACTACCTCACAGGGTGTCTGTGGACATGCGTGTGCGCACGGGAAGCTCTCCCAGGACATGCGTGTGCGCACGGGAAGCGCGCACGCGCCACCAGCACGTCACAGGAAGTGACGTGCTACGTCGCTCACGTTGGGGGCGTGGCCCAGATCGTCGAGGGGTTTCCCCCCCGACGATCTGGGCCATGCCCCCAAAGTGAGTGACGTGGCTGCGTCACCTCTGGTGACGCAGCTTCGGGGGGCAGAGTTCCCCCCAGGGCCCGATTCTGCCGCGGCGGAAATCAGGCCTCCAAAGCAGGGGTTTCCCCGCCCCCACTTGGCAGCCCTACCTGGAGATCAGCTGTCATTCCAGGAGATCTCCAGGGCCCATCTGGAAGTTGGCAACCCTAATGTATAAGATTGCAAAATGAAGACTGGGATTACCAGATGAAGGTTTCTTATATAGTTCAATATATATTTGTTTGAATGCAAGAAACCATTTCAAAATATTTTAATTTTAAAAGGCTTCCTGTTAAATCTACTATCACAGTTATGCATGCCCTCACTCCCTGACATGTTGTGGTTGACTCTGCCTCCCATGGCAGCCATTTTGTGGCTGCGACCAACACTGTGTGTCAGAATTCCAAAGGTGTCCACAGGCTGAAAAAGGCTGGGGAACCCTGGTGTACATATATGTGTTATTTTGTCATAATGTTTCAAGAATAATTTCCAAGTTGTAAAAGGCCAGAGGGGTGAAAGCGGAGAGCAATTGCTTACCTTCAGGTCTTCTGTGATTATGTCATTTTTCTCAGCGTCGCTGCCAACTAATTTTTTACTTTTATCAAAATCTGCTAGGAAAACCTTGCCAGTGGCATCTAACAAAGGAATGGGAACAAAAAGTGAAACAGCTTTGGAGGTCTTCTGAAAGCGATGGCCAATGATGGCAGTTTTTAACCATGCAGTGAGGGCATTTTGATGTTACTTAAAAAAAAACAACCCTCATGCTGATTTCTCAGGTTAAAAGTACTTGGATTCTTGAACCAAAAATAGTGAAAGCAAGAGGAAATCCGCCCTCCCTTCCCTGCACGGTCTTGAAGCAAACTGAAGCCACACAAACCTACTATGTCCATTTCATGGATGGAACAAGATGCCTGATCTTTGTCTGTTTGACCCTTGGACCGCAGAAACTCTGGTCCAAATCTCTGCTCAGCTGGGAAGCAAACAGGATATCAGTGGGTCAGTCACTCTCTCGCACGTTTGTTGGCCGAGTTCAGACTGGCAGTTTGCCCCAATATACGGGCGTTTCAGAAACTTTCCACAACCAGATTAAATGGGCCGTTCACACAGGCACATCTGTCAGGCGTTCCCCACCCGTACTCAACCTGTCGTGTAACGCTTTGCTCCCGAGTTTAAAAGATACCTGGTGAAAGTGGTAGCAAACCCTGGAAAGCGCGATTATCCTGCGTCCATCCTGCATCAACAAAGTGTGAACGCCAAAAGCCGCATTTTTCTTATGCGCTTATGCGCATAAGCGCATATCTCCAGATTACAAAAAAAAGAAAGCCGCGCCTTACAGCCGTGCCTCCAAACCAACACCCTTGCACCTCCTCCTGGTATGCTCCTGCATCAGTCTGCAGTGTGAACGGGAAAACCCAAAACAGTTTGTTTCGGCTCTTTTTTGCCATGACTCCCTCCCGCTTCAAACTGCCAGTCTGAACTCAGCCGTTGTGAAGGTCAAACAGGAAAGGGAAAATATGCATACTGCCACATATGCTTCCTGGAGACCGGGTGGGATCAAGGTGCGGTGATATTAAATATGTAGTGACAAAAAGTGTTAACATGCTTTTGCAATGTTAAATGAGCAGCAAAACCTTGCCCAGCAGTGAGCAGGTTGATAGTGAAAAGGGAGCAAGACTTGAACCAGCTTCTCGTCTATAGATCAAGGCTGGAGGAAGGAACTGCAGATAGTTCATGTTCACTGCAGCCTAGGGTATTCTTGGTCCTGGAAATCAAAGGTCACCATAGAACCAGTCCTGTACTACTGCCTTCTATAAAACCCCCACATAAGAGTCCTAAATGGGCCTTATAGGTCATCCAGTACAACTTCCTGCCCAGTGCTGGAAATCTAAAGCTAGAGCATTCCCAATAGATGGCTGTACAGACTCTACTTGAAAACTCTGGTAGGGGGAAGCCCACCCAAGGTTCCATTGCTCAACTGCAAATTCTGTTAGAAAGTTTCTCCTAATGTTCAACCAAAATCTACTATTTTGTAACTTAAATCCATTAGATCTTGCCCTTCGGAGTAGCATAGATTGGATTTATACCACGTCCTTCACTCAGAGTGGCTTACAAACTCCTTTCCCTTCTCCTCCCCACAACAGACACCCTGTGAGGTAGGTGGGGCTGAGAGAGCTCTTTCAAGAACTGCCCTTTCAAGGACAGCTCTGAGAGAACTATGGCTTGCTCAAGGTCATTCAGCAGCTGCAAGTGAAGGAGTGGGGAATCAGACCCAGTTCTCCCAGATTAGAGTCCACGCACTTAACTACTACACCAAGGTAAAGGTCTCCCTTGCTCAAAAGCCAGTCGAGTCCGACTCTAGGGTTGCGGTGCTCATCTCCGTTTCAAAGCCGAAGAGCCAGTGCTGTCCGAAGACGTTTCCGTGGTCATGTGGCTGGCAGGACTAAACACCAAGGCGCACTGAACGCTGTTACTACACCAAACTGGCTCTTAAATTAAAGAACTCTGCTGTGTGACAGCTCTTCATATATTTGAAGAGCACAGTTATGTCTCCCCTCTCCAGCTGAACACACCCAGTTTTTCAACCTTTTCATAGGACAGAACTCAGAACATATTTACTGCTCTTCTCTGAACCTGCTCCAGTTTGTCTACACTGTTTCTGGTGCAGCACCCAGAACTGGACATACTACTCCAGATGAGGTTTGACTAGCATCTAATAGAGTGGAACATTTCTCGTTTCTTGGATGTTACGCTTCTAATACCGCCTAAATCACACTAGCCTTTTTTGCAGTTGTATCACACTGTCAGTTCATGTACAGCTTGTGATTTACCACAATCCCAAGATCCTTTTCACATGTATCACTTCCAACTTACTACCTTCAAGGTTGGGCAACTGGCTGAATTGCCATCAAGAGCTGTATCTGTGCTGCCTACTTGCCCTTGGAGCTGATGATCAGCTCTCCAATTAGTTATGTGCACACCCAAGTGCACACCTGGATAGCTGATCTTGTCAGATCTTGGAAGTTAAGTAGGGTCATCCCTGGTTAGTACTTAGACGGGAGACTACCAAGGATGTCTAGAACTCTACACAGAGGCAGGCAGTGGCAAACCACCTCTGAACATCTCTGGCCTTGAAAACCTTACGGGGTCAAAACAAAAAAACACCAACGTAAATTACCTCTTAGTTGCCTGTGTCCACCAGCGATTCAATGGCTTGAGCTGGTATTTGAATCCTTAGGCACAATATAAGTCCACTTACGCTACACCACACTAAATCAGTTCAACCCCTGATAATATAACTACAAAAAGAGATTATTTGAAAAGCTGAGAACTGGGAATGTTAAAGGCAAAACCTGACCTGGGAAAGTTTTCATTTAATTCAGGAATATATCTGCTGCTGAGGAGTGAAAATAGCCATGTTCAAATGTCCCTACTTAGCTAAGGTAACACCTGCAAGTTATGACACTGAAGATGAAAGACTCATGAGAACAAGCAGGAGGAAAGGTAAACTAGGCTGCGGTCACATGGAGCATTAGCCACCCTACAGAGATGGAAGTTAGGCGGATTTTCCGGGCGCAATCACAGCGCCACATCTGGGAACCGTAGAGCTCCCGTGGCGAACCCGAGGCTTCCCGCCGAAGATGCGGGGTAAAAAACTAGTACCTCTGAGGTACTAGTTTCCGGAAACCGCAGGGCAAGGGCAGGCACCTGATCACGTTTCCGGTGGTAGGTCGTGGCATCTGGTACCTGCCCATGTCCCGTCGCTAAAAGGGTTTTTTCCCCCCAAGTCTCCACGGGATGCACACAAGCACCCAACGGTGCATGTGCACACTTCTTTTAAAAACAAACAACACAGCCCCCTCCTCTTTTCCGTACCCCCCCCACTCCTGGCTTGGCCTGCTCGAGAGGAATTCTCTGCACCGGGCGGCAGAGGGGGAGGTGCAGGGTGTGTGTGTGGCGGGAGGGCGGCCCGGCTGCAGCTCCTCCTGTAGGGGACCAAACAGAGGACACAGTTTGCATTCCTCTGCAGCCCTGGAAGGGGTTAATCCCGCGGAGCCTTTTGCTAGAGAGGCCGCTTCTTTGCCACACCGCAGGATTGTCCTGTGATCAGCACCTCCCCCCTAACCACAGGACCTCTACGGGATGTCTGATCGCCCAGCCGCGCGTTATTTTGCTCCGGGGCAAACAGCCATGTTTCCCCCCTGCATTTTCCTGCCCGTGTGACTGGGGCCCTAGTATGTTAAGAAAGTGGTACCCCCTGCTTTGAGCCTCCTGGTAGTGGTAAGGAATCCACTTTACTTTGACCCCTGTGAACAAACCATAATGTATGAGTGTTCTGCTCCACATCTATCTCATTCAAGTCAATTAGGCTTCAAAAGACAAATGCATCAGGCTCCTGCTGACGTGTTGCAAAACACAAGAGAATACAAACCTATCAAAATGTTGCTTGGGTGTAGATCCTGGTGGCCAAACCCAAATGCATGTAGCTCCTGCACTGCCTGAAAGATTGTTTTAAGAATGTCCTTGCTCTTCAGATCTGTGTTCTCAGCCCTCCCAAAGTATTCCTCAAGGTTCTGCTCACACAGAGCAAAGCACAAGTAGAGACAAGTCTTCTGTTCTTCTGACCCATAGTAGTTCAGCTGGTGGTTGCTGTGACGGCATTTTTCATGGCATGTCTTCTCTCTATTGGCATTTTCTGCACCTGCATTGAAAACCTTCACAGCCACCTCTTCTCCATCATAGAATCCAAGGTAAACACCACCTTGGGAGATCCTCTGAATCTTGAATTTTTCATACATGAAGATCTTAAGCTTCCCAATCATAGGACGATACATTATGGCGAGGTCCTGGAGCTTTGACCCCCAGCGCCTGCTAGAGGATGTCCACTGCACCTGGTTTGAGTCAGGCTGGCTTAAACTAGCCTTGGCACCAAATTGGCAAAGAAGCTTTGCCATGTAATTGTTGTAAGTCCTGTTGGCAATCCCAATGAGGTCCCCAATGTCTGTCCGGGCACTTTTCTCACACAGCATCCTTGCTATGTTGCAGTTCCCCTTCTCCACAGCGACCATCAGTGCCGTTTGGCCATTTTTGTCAGCGTCATCGATGTCCATTTCATCTTTTTCCAATATAGCCTTCACCAGCTCTTGGCTCAGCTGTTCCACTGCCAGGATAAGAGTGGTCTTCCCACCTTCACCTCTCTTGGTTGTATCAGCCCCTTTTTCTAAGAGGAAAGAGGCCACTGCCTCTTTGGTTTGGCTCCAGGGCTCTTGTTCGGTCACTGAGAGAGCGTGCACGAAAGCATTCCTATCCCGATTGTCACAGATGTTCACATCAGCACCCATTTCATCCACGAGGGCTTTGACGATATCGAAACGACCTTTCCTAGCAGCATCCATCAGAGCTGTTGCACCCCCTTTATTCAAAGCCCTTTTTTCCTCATCAACTATTCTCCTCATATTTACATCTGCTCCTCTGTCATGCAAGAACCTTAGAGCTTCTTCTTTCCCATACCATGCAGCTTCCATGAATGCCGTGAAACCGTTGTCATCATGCTCGTTGATTTCTGACCCCTTAGAAAGAAAGAGCTCCAAAAGCATCACATTGCCCGTTATCCCTGCTATAATAAAAGGGGTAGCACCATTATCCTTCTTAGCACAGGGATCAGCCCCTTGGTCAAGCAGAAGCTGGACAAACTCCAACTTGTCTCCCTGTACGGCAAAGAGCAAGGGAGTCCAGCCATAATTCAACTTAACATTTACATCTGCACCTTCTTCCAGCAGTTGCTGGACTTCCTCAATGGAGCCATATCGGATGGCATTGGACAGCTGAACAGCTTTATCTGCTGCCATTCTTTTTCTAGAGAATTCTGAAGCCTCCTAAGAGAGGCTATTGTACTGGCTTTTGGTTGATTCGAAACCTATTTCTCGTGTAAGTGCAAATTTGTGACCAGCCAACGTAACATCAGAAATCTGGATCAACTGAAGAGTCCTCCACATAGAGCTATGCTGCCACAGATGTATATGCAATATGTATTGAGTCCAGATGTTTCAGATCCCAGGTTCTCAAATTTTAAAAAGAGAAAAATAGATGCCTATCATGCTGCCTGTATAAAAAGCATTCACGCAGTCCATCTGCTTATCGAAGACATAAAACCTGTAAGACACAAACTCATGAAAAATGGGTCTACCAACCACTATTAGTCACAGTAGCGAAATGGGACCTCCAAGTTCAGCGGTGGTATGCCTCTGAATATCAAACGCCGTGAATAAGCAAGAGAGGAAAGCGTCATCCCCTGCTTGTAGGTCAGGAGGCAGCTAGCTGGCCTTTACTGCAAATCAGATGCTGGACCATACAGACCCTACTCCTTCTAATCCTGCAGGGATTTTCTTACAGAGATTTTGTTCTCGTACTTCACAGTGAAAGCATCTGCTCTTGAGTGTTGTTGTGCCTAGAGCAAAGGGGAAAAAAGCGGTCCAGCCTTCAGTTCTTGGCAAATAATAAATAATATTACCAACATTGTCATACCACTTTTCCTCAGTTACCTCACATAGTTCCACATGCACCATTAGGAGAAAATAGGATGGGACAGAGGAAGGAAAATCCAAGAAAAAAGCCTTAAAGAACACTGTCTACTTGTCAGTATTTACCAATCAACTAGCAGCATCGACAGTCAGTCCTGCCTCCTGCAGGAATGAACAGCCTATTTCTTTTCCCCATGCCCTGAAGGCATTGCCATTTAAGGTGAGCCAAATTTGTTGCTGAGAGACCTTGGCCTTCCCCTTAGGGTTAATGTGAATGGTAATAGGCCTGGTCCATACTGTAGATGTTAGTCACTGGGTCTCTAAGCCTACACAGCCCTTATCATCTTCAAGGCCAGATATGGCAGTGTGGTAATTAGCTTCTCATGAGAACCTGTGGCCCATAGGATGGGAAGGGGAGAGTCAGGGGTGATGAGGCAATCTTCTAGAGGCTTCTCCTGAGAATGCATCCTGATTGGATGTCATCATCACTTGAGTTTGCTTGGTCAAAAACTATAATTGAACTAAGGCCCTGAAGAAAATAGAGTAGTGTCGATTCTGATGGACTAAAGGCCCCGACTATGACATGCTTGAATTGCAATTTGAAAAAGTGTGCTTTGCACATGAAAGCTCACACCTTGAATCTTTGTTGATCTTAAAGGTGCCAGCGGACTCTAAATTTGTTCTACTGCTTCAGACCAACACAGCTGACTACCTGGATCTATCTTGAATTGCAATTGTCAGCAATGCAGAGAATGCCTGAGCTTTGGCCTTTGACTTTTAGATTTAAGCTTTGTGCCATTTAACGCAAGTCCTAAAAAGTGTTAATTAAACTAGTTCTCATTTTTTCTGCAGCATGATTTTAGAGTAATGTGTTGCCTGTAGAGTAAATCTTTATTTGACAGAAATTAAACTTCATAAACTTTAAAAAACAAACAAACAGAGGTCTGGTTACTTGTGTGCAACTGCCCTGGGGACCTTGGACTCCTTGACAATTGCCTAATTTAAGAAGCACAGGAAGAGTGTCAAGGGTTCAGCTGTTGTCCAGTGATAAAGAACACGGGGTTCCTGTGAAACCTTTAAAATTAGCAATTTTTGTTGTCATTTAGCATCTTTATATCTCACCATTCTATAACACTATGGGTGCCGTTTCAGCCGGCATAAACTGTACCGGTTGGAACCGGTGCAGTTTATGCCGGTTGAAACGCGATCACACTCACCTCCTGTCTGCGCAGCCCATCGCAATACGCCCGTCCACACTCGTCGTTGTTTTTTTTTTAACTTAGTTTGCGCATGCGCATAGGCAGCCATCCATAGAATGGCGGTCTTCTCGCATGTGCAAAGAACCCTGTCATACATTTAAACTTTAAAGGGTAAGGACTTACCTTTAAAGTTTAAAGAGCACAGTAGCCTCCCTGAGGTCCCGGACGCCTCCGAAATGCTACAGTAAGGCCCTTTTCTTTTCTTTTTTAAACAAACGGCAGGGCGAAGCTTCGCCCAAGCGCATATCGCCGTCCTTTTAAAAAAATGGCGGGCGAAAATCGGAAGCCTCAGGCTTCCGAACGGCAGTAGCTGTGCAACATTGGAGAGCGATCAGACGGCGTTTACAACCGTTGCACTCAGGATACCACCACTTGGGGACCTAGTGGCAGAGTGCAACGGTGTAAAGGGCTTTACAATGGTTAGGGACGGGAGGCAGATGTTCACCGTGTGAACGCCGGTAAGTACACCGGTTGGAACCGGCACCTATTCCGTTGTAAAGCCCCCGTCTGAACGCACCCATATATATGACAATAACTGAACTCAAATGGAATTTATAGTGGTGTGAGTGGCCGCAACCTTCTTGCTCAGGTGTATGAAGCAGTCACCTAAGTCACCTAAAAGCCTTGTACACAGGACGGCAGAAGGAAGAGCAAAGGGTGTGGAAAATGGCACTTATTTGCACTCGTTTATTTATACATCTTTCTCCCTTACAGGGGCCACATTCTTATTGGCAGGGCTCAAGATTTGCTGTTTTAAACCCTGACCTGGATAGCCTATGCAAGCTGTTCTGCATAATGGGTAGGAACAGGCCTGCTGTGCGAGGGAAGGCTTCACCTGTTGAACTTCCATCTGCCCGGCGGCTGTGAAGGAGCCCTTCCAGAGGGGGAAACTATGGAGACTCCCGTAGCCTTTCTTCATTTGCTCCTCATAATGCTGAAGCCAGTTCTTGTTTACCAGCCCTGTCCTTCCGGATACTTCCCCAGCCACCCATAGTTTCCCCTTCTAATCTCGCTGTCCGTTCTGAGCTTGACCTCTGAACTCATCTCAAGTTCAGAGGAGTGCTTTTATGGGCCTTGCCTGCCTCCACCCATTTCCCTCAAACTCCCCCCCCCCCCCCTCCCACCTCACGCTCTCTCACTACTCTGTGCCTGGATCTCTCTGCCTCCCATCGACACTCAGACCCCCCCCCCAATATCACGTGAAAACAAATCACAGGACTTGCTTCCAGCCTCTATGGACCCCCACAGATGAACAGGACAACCCAGATCTTGACCCTCATAATGCCCCCTTCGACAGCTCTGCCACTCCTTCCTAGGAACTGACATATATGACCTCACTTACTTTCTAGCAGGTTTCTTTTCCTCTGCTTTTCTTCCGTCACCTGCAACTAGCGGCTCCGAATCGCAGCAGTTGGGAAAGGAGAGGCGAGTTGTGAAGGCGCCAGTGGGAAGGAGGAAAAGGAGATTTCTTTGTTTTTTAAAAGAGGAAATGCTGATTCAGGGGTGGAGAAGGAAATACTTCTGTGGCTGAAGGAGGAGGGGCACTGTGAGCAAGTCTGCACTTTCGTTTTGGTCTCCCAGCGAGTCCGAGGGAACTGAGAGACGTCTGACGTTAGATTATAGTTCTTCCCCCCCCCCCCCCAGCAAACATACAACTGTGACACCTATACGTTATGAAGGATCCAGATGTTTTTGTTCCAAGCAGAATGTCTGTTACATGGATGACATGTTTTCCCAGTTTTCACGCTGCAAAATTTTGTCTGCTGCAATGCATTCCTCCCGCCCGGCCCGGCCCGGCCCGGCCACCACCCGGCTGGGTTAATGGACAACTTCTGATAAGGATTGCTATTGGCACTGAACTACTTCACAGAGTTGTTGTGAGGATAAAATGGAAGAAAGGAGAATTCATAAGCTGCTTTTGGTCCTCCTTGAGGAGAAAGATGGGATATAAATGATGTCAATAAATAATAAACATAGCTGAAGGCAGGGGGCAGGTAAAAGGTTGGTGGGTGGGAAAGAAAAAAGGAAGCAGGGAAATGTGAGGTTATAGGGTTTGCCAGGAGGAGGAAAAAAGGACACAGCATGGGGTGGGATTACAGGAGAAAGTGAGGTGCCCCCTGTAAATCCTTGTGTTCTCTATCTAAAAACCAGACTCAGCAGATAGCACGTGCAACTTGGCCTGGCCCAGGCCAGCAGCTGGAACAGTGCAAAGGTTTCCCAGGGAGATGCTGCCAGGGCTGGGAAGGAGGGAAATCTGAAGACAGGGGGGTAAATAAAGGTAGGTTGGCTGGTGGTAGAGAAGCCAACTCCAAGCTGGAAAATTCCTAAAGACTTGGGGTGAAGAGGGATGTGATTTCACAGAGCCCACTCTGCAAAACTACCATTTTCTCCAGGTTAACTGATTGATCCCTGTTGCCTGGAAATCAGCCAAAATTCTGGGACATCTCCAGGCCCCTAGCTGGAAAGAGAGAAGGGAGCAGGAAAAGGGGAGAGGCTATAGCAGCTTTCAGGGAATGGAAAGAGGAAATAGCAGGGGAGGGGGAAATTAGATGCCCCCAGCAAGTCCTTGCAGATCCCCCACTTGTATCTGAAGAATTTTCTACAGCTTGAAATTGTTGGTGTTGATAATGTGAAGTATATGTTAGGAGGGGTTTTTTTGTAATGGGAAACAATGTAAAAATTAAAAAGACAGGGAGAGAGAAACCGATGTGGGAAAACAATTCTGCTGTTAGGGCAATTTCTATTAAGGCAATGGAGCTCTATGTTAAATTTCCTGTTGATGTTTAAAAAGTAGCTTCCTTTCCTCTCTCTTTATACTCAACTGGTTATATCATAATGGGTTGGATCCAGTCATCTTTTTCATTCAATCTACCCAATCCCCTTCTTTATTATAACCTCCATCCCATATGGCTTTTATACATGCAGGCCCCATGATCCTGTGGGCTACTGTTGGGGTGATTAAAGGAGACCCTTCCTTATCACCAGCAGAAAAATCTGGTTCGATCCAACCCACTGTCTTTTATACCATTGTTCTGTAACTGTAAAGTCCAGTTTTTTGGATCATTGTTTTCTTATTGTCTGTTTATGAGATGCATTACATCAGGGGTCA